TTGTCACCACCCTTGTGGATCAGCGGGAGATTCGCCATGACGCGACTAGTTTGATACCACGACGGTGGTGGATCCTGGTATTCGTTTACTCTTAGCTCGGCTTCAGACGAAAACGCCGGACTCCTTCTGAGCATGGGAGATCCTGCCGGGAAGTGGTTAAGCCATTGTGGCTCCCTGGAATTGAGAAGTCAATGTGGCCAACGTCTCCTCCACGTCTCCACCACCACAGGCAGTCGTAGCCTTTGTGGATCAGAGGTAGATTTGCCGCCATGCGATCTTGATGCCAGGACGGTGGTGAATCCTGGTACTGGTTTACTCTTAGCTAGGCTTCCTGATGGAAACACTGGACTCCTTCTGAGCATGGGAGATCCTGTCGGGAAGTGAATCCCCCCGCTGTACATCGTAGCCCGATACCCAGGAACACCTCCCAGCCATGGTGAGGCGGTAAACTGCCGGGAGGAAATAAAAAAGAACACTAAGCATTACCATCCTCGTATACATAGAAGATATGTGCCAAATCGGCGCAAGCAGAAACAGGGTCTCTATACGCTGATGGTTCCACCTGCGTTTCGGGAAAGCATAAGCTCGCTTTCGGTCTGCTGCTACCCCCCTGTCCTCCATTTAGGAACGCGCCACGTTGCCTCGCTAATTGCATGATCTATGAAAGATATAAGGAGATATGAGCAAAACTCGGAACATCAACCAACGACCACCATTTTGATGGTCCACGAGCTATCTATTGCCCTAACCGACGCCCTTGCTTTTTATGAAAAACAATGTAGTCGCTATCAAGGAATGGAATCAGTCTGTTATTAAAAATGTTGTGAGTGGACTATTATGGAGCTGGTACTCAGAGACCAAAGAAATCGGTGGACAACGCAACAGCAATCATCACAGCCGCTAGAAATCACTGAATTATGGAGTTAAAGATGGCGCAGGCGGTTTTCAAAATCGGCCAAGCATCAAAGTATCAATTCCCGTTTGAAGCATCAATCATTAGCAGTACCTAGAAGAATAGAGTTTAAAAGCACAAATACATAAAAGTGCCTGAATCACCATCTATAGCTCTGCTTTTGCTCAGTGTAGCCCTATAAAGGTTCCAAGAAAAGATACGAAGAATGGAATTGAACTGCCAAGTGAAGGAGCGGGCACACATTGTTCAGATGCACGGGACATCGATCGATTGTGGACGTGCCAGGTTCGTGCAGACAACGCTGGCACGTTCGAACATGTTGCAGAGCATATTGTTATGAGGACATCACGCACGGAAAGCAGACAAGAACTCCGTATTTACAGACCGAAAGTGAGGTTAACAATAAGCAATTTGAATTTATGTAAAATACCGTAGTGCACTTGCATCCTGACGATCGTGATAAAACCTGTTAGCTGCCGATATCTCACTCGTTTTCCTCAATGGAGACCATCGCATTCAGTCTTCCTAACACCGCTCCGTGCGGTCCTACCCCGATTGGACGAGATCTGAGTTTTATCCATTTTAGCACTTTTTTCGCTAACCTCGTTTACAACGCTCTTTGCTCATATGAGTTACTTTTTCAATACACTTATTGTTCTAAGCTGTTATTCGCTTTTTGGGAAGCTTTTTTTGCGCTGAAAGGTGACCGACAACTTCCAGTCACCCAGTATATGCTAATTCTCTTTTTCCCAACAATAACCACTTTAGAGGAAAGATTTTTTCACTATATATATATACATACATATATACATATATATACATGAGGAAAGGGCGCGTGTGGCACAGTGATCGGAGGTTCCCTGCAACACACACATGGGACCGATCCCCACACTCGTGGCTCACTAAGCCTTCCATTCCTTCGGAATCGACTCGTCTGGGAGGATAGCAGCACTGGCTTGATACATCGCTAGAACATACGGAATCACTGTAAAGGCCAGATATGCATTCAATCAACTCCAAACGATGCTTAATGAAGTCGAACGCATGGCGCATCCCTCAGGGATTGATAACACCTAGAGCTTTGCCCTTTCATCTTCCTTAAATATATATATATGTGCAGTTTTTCAAGACTCGTTAGAGTTTCCTTTTCTTCAAAGCTATTGCGAAGACCTCTTGGTGTTCTTGATTGTGGAAGCGTGAGTCGTTTACCAGTGGAGTCTCCAAACCGAGAAGCTTTTCGGCATTTCCATTCAATGAAGAGGATCATACCTCGTGTGATAGTTTCCACAGTTCTTCACTGGTCGCCGAACAGTTCTAAAACACGACAACTATGAATCGTTCTTACTAAATTTCATTCCTCTCCCACATTATTAAGAATATTACACGTGATAGTTTCTTTCGGTTTTATACGACTCATCTTTACATCTTCCTCCCAGTCATTCGCTGACTGTTGATCGAGTCCATCCAACTGGATTCCTGCAACAGATGTGCAAGATCCTTCACACTTAGATTTCAACAGGAAAATTATTGGCAGACAAGTCTGCTACCAATTCGCCTACCTTGCACGAATGATAGGCTTGATGAGTTCGGAGTAAGTTCGAACCAGTGTGGTGTTCGTGGTTTAAAATATCATCACTGCTGTACTAGCTGCCTCATACAAGTGATATCGACCTTGTCTATATCGAGGAAATCTTTTAAGAACTTGAGCCGGTAAAACACAAACCCGTCGTGAGTTAACGGATAAGGTTTGAAATGCGAGCTAAAAAAAAGGTGCAAAGTCGCTTCAGAAGATAAACTCCACGTCTCTATGGTGTTATCTTGTGCGTGTTGCGCTGATAGTCATGCACGTATACTAGGTCGTAATACTACACCAACATTCGAAGTGAACGAATGAGGAAAACAGCGCTCTTTAAACGAGACTTATGATAAAAGCGAAGAGCTGTTCATTGAAGGACGCAGTGGAAGAAGCGTCAATGGTCTGAGTATCCTTGCGAAAATTAAGTTCGCCATGGAGTCAACCCGTTTCGACGACTAACGGTCTGGATGAAGGGTTTACGGCCGAAAAGATAAGGACTTATGCTATTCTTCAATTCCTTCTTACATAACGAATCAGCTTCGTGGAACGATAAAGGCGAGGTCATGGCGTTTTTCACAGAATTTCAGATGGTTCGTGGAAGAGAGCATTTAGAATAAAGTTTGCGACTTTAACATCAACTTAAGCTTAGGAAAACTTTACCTTACTGTCCAGCAAAACCAATAAAATGTGAATTGGAAAGCGGAACGCATTATGAAAACCAAGATCGTTTTCCCTAACTCAGAATTCTAGAAGGATGCTAGTCAACATGGGAGGTGGAAATCTTCAAATATGAAAAATCGATAGGGACATGGTTGCTTGAACACTTCGCCTTGTCGATGATTCTGCTGCCTAAGAGATCAGTATATGATCGTACCATCATTTCGTTCCCTAGATTTATAGGAAAAAAACGTTACACTGATTTTTCCCAGATCCTTAGTGTCGTTCGGAGAGGACAGTACCCGAAGATCTGAAGCACCTTCGGTCGGCCCTCATCAGCACACTGGCCAGGATCTCCACATGCTGCCTGGCAGAATATAATGCCGTATTCAATGAAAGAGCAGCAATATGGCAGCATTGTTAAATGATCTTTCCGATTTCGGCAGCTATCGCCTAATCCGCCTACTCTTGATAAACATTTAACACGAGTCATTCTCAACAGGGTTGGTAGAACAGTGTTTGCTGCGAAATACCCTATCCCCATATCCTACAATAACGAGGTTGATTGCTCTATTTCAAGAATGCAGAAAAACGACTTGTTCAACTTTAACCAACATAAGAACCCATCGACTCATTTGTGTCGGAAATTGTCGCGAAGGTTCTGGACTGGCAAGAAGCGCCTGTTCTTTAAGCTATGAATCTTCATCAGTTACATAACAATTTCAATACCAACATATTCTATAAAGACATCAACATCAAAGTAAACAGAGGTGCCGTTACTGGCGATACCGTCTCGCAAAGTTACCCTCGAAATCGTCATTGAGAAAATTGGAATGAGAAAACGGCATCGTGGAAGCATGGCCCACCGAAGACCGAAGCCTACGACTTAGTCGGAATTGAAGCGCTTCTGGTAAACACAAGAAGTCTAATCAGTCAGCGACAAATGAATCATTTCGATTCCTCCACAATGATACCATAGTTTGTGTAAGCAGTGAGACTCGAAACTAGAAAGAAAACTGGACTAGACCAGTCCCAAATTCATTTTAGTGAAATTATTTAACGCTTTCATAAAAAATTTCATAAGATAAAAAGTGACGGAGCAGTTTTCGTCTTTGCCATCTGTATTCTCTTTGTAGTATTTGTTTGAAGGTTTTCTGCACACTAGGAACGAATTTGAACCTACTATTTTCTACTAAAACGTAACTGCAATCAGTATCGGGTGGGGACGCTTGAACCCCAATACAATACTTGTAACGGTACCTAGTGGAGCTCACCGTGACGTTGTCTTCTTACGTTTTGGTCCTCTATTCGTTATGTCAATCCACCATTGACAACTTGTTTATATTGTAGCATTTTTTTATAGCCCGTTTTCACGCCTACTGTGCGGATCCCAGCTACGTGTGGCTTCGGTTGCTGCTTGACGATTTTTCGTTTCATCGTGAATGTCGTAGAATGCTGGTCGAACATTTCTTCCTGAGATCCTGAGATAGCCAGGCTAAAACGTTACCAATTGGATTCCAGATAATGATTTTTTCTCAGACAATTCCGGTACCATTCACCCGACCCCGAAAGGATGAGGGGCTCGATAAGCCCGGAGCGGAGTCGAACTAACACCATGCTCGTGATGACGGGCATCACCACCACTGTGCTATCAGCTCTCTTATAGGATATAAAGGGTCTTTTTTCCTGAACTCTTGTTTATCATTTTATTTCGTAACGTTGACTGCATTTGTCCAGTCCTCGTTTACAGCAAAACGCGAAATTATATGAAGAAAATCGTATTTTTCATTAGAAGAGTGTTATTCACACAACTACGATTCGTCCTGTCGGCGTCCACTCATATTTTCAGTTGCCATGAACATGGAGATGTCCGAAGAAAAGGAAAGTCATGAGGAATCTCTAGAAGAACTACTGAAGAGACGAGAAGAGGTTGCGGTAAGCCATCCTAGATTATTGTTGTTCCCTTGTAGAATAAATTAAATTTATTTGTTTTTACTATAGACCTCTTTGGAAGCGCTGGAGGAGGAAATTTATAGCTATGAGGAATCGTTTCTTGTATCCACTGCAAAATATGGCAATGTGGTCACTGGTATGAAAGCGCGTTACAATTTTCTTCAGAATTTGTTGGAACGAACCCATTAGACTGTCCGTGCTAATAATTAAATATCATTAGAAAACCAAAAGGAGTTCTCAATAATCATATAATCGTTTACTCAATGTTGTTTTATGCGTCAGTTATTTCAGTTCTTTCTAGGCTTCAACCGTGATGCATGGTCCAAGTTTGGTCCGCGGAGCTCGAATGCACATCTTCAGCCAAAGTTCACAGTGAACAACATCAGATACAAAGATAGAGTTTTCTCCAACTCCTCCATAAAATCACCAGCAACACGTCTACATCCGCGGCTAAAACCAGGCAAACTCGCGACAACATCTGACAAACCTTCAACGTCGAAAACAGCAAGGAACGTCATGAAGGAAGAGATTGAGAGAAACCCGAAAGAGGAAGGTGGAAAATGGGTCCCTGATCAAAACGTGCTCAAAAGATGGAAGAAGGAAGACGAAAAGATGGTCAAGAAAGCCTTTTGGAAGGCTGGGTAAAACGACGAAGATTTCAAGACTATACGAGCGTCATTTAGAGCGCTGCGACTGTGATAGAGTATTAGAACCTCTTTCAATTTTTTCGACGTCTTTTTCAATAAATCATTAGTGAATGCATGGCTTTTTAGTCCTACATCTTTTCATGATAATTCTTTATATACAAGTTGCGATTACCAGAGTGTAATAGTTGAGATAAAGGACTTTCTGCGCAAGTCCTCCAGGACCATTTTTTGCCATATGAACTCTTCTAGTAAGGAGAGAGCGATATATCATTGGAGGAACAAAAGTGTTCTAATGACAACATTTATTTGACTTTCTGTACCTGAGTGAACTCTGTCTTCATGAAGTGTCGTAATAGTACGACTAGTACACAATGCTTGCACAGAGGTTACATTTTGAACACAATTTCCAGTTGTTGGAGTTTTCTTCGTTTTTTGAACTACCGAGATGATGCATAAACCTCAGGGGGTGGTACTGATTCCTTTCGTGAGCGATGGACAATTCTCATGACAATGGCACACATTTCAAGAGCAACGTTTTCCTGTCAATCTGACTACTGGTGAAACAATCCCACAAGCATGCTCTCGCACGAAAAATATAATAATGTTAGCGCTTTATATACTACCTACTATAATTTTTCAAGGTTTTTATGATGTGACATACAACCACAACGATGCTGAGATAATCGCAAAAAATGGACCACTGGCCTGGCCAGATCGAACCACGTTGTCTCTTTCTCTGGAACTCGCGTATTACACATTGAATCACCACTGAGACTCTTTCCTTGCGTTTCTGTCAGCTAGTTTTCCGCCTAGCGCTGCCACCAACAATTATATCTGGCCCGAAGTCCTAGTTTTGCGCATATCTCAGCATCGTTGTAATTGAATGTCACATCATACACTGCCATAAAAAATTATAGTAGGCAGCATATAAAAGGCTAACATTGTAATTTCGACTACAGCCTCAGCTTAACTGGGTTCAATGCCAATTTGTGCTGCCCAGATCAGTCCCACAGAACGAGTGATTGCTAACGGCACCGTTAAGTAAAAGACCTGCTCAGAGAAATGCAAAGGAAAGGCCTCAGAGGTGCACCGTGTGCTACGCAAACCCCCCTTCCACAACCGGAAAAAGTAATCGCGGTTCGATCTGGACAGGGGTCCGAGTTTTGCGAAAAACGTAGTACTTCAATGCTTAGATGATGTTGAAATGTTGTATGGTCGCCAGTAATTCTATTGTATTGATTCAGTGTGTTACAATGGTCATCTATGAATGTGGCTCAGGTTAGCCTACGAGTTCCACTACGGCATGAGAATCCGTTGTGTTCCCTCCTCACTTAAGTATAGAATGGTGCTCGAACATGGTTTTTTTTGGATCGCGAGATTGCAGGGCGTTTCCACGTGAACTGGAGACAGTGGACTTGTCCTAGGCAAGTCTGGCGCGGATTTCCCGACTCCGGAGAGGTGAGAGGCCTGCTGAGCAAGAGGCGTGTTCGAATTAGCACCTGGGTAGCTTGGAAATCCGCATAATGAAGGGGATTACTATCATTGCATCAGTTTCTCTCTTTTAGTGAACAGATCAACAAAATTTTTACTGAAGCGGTTTTAAGCGGCTAAAGAAACCCGTTATTGCTAATTTCACGAAACAGTCATTCAACGGCCCTAACATATCATTTTTTTTCGTTAGGCTATTCCTCTGACTTCTCATCTTTCTGCATTTGTTCGCGGATTTCATACATTAAAAAATCATCATCATGCTAGTCACAGGACTAATCAGGGAAGACAAGCCTTGTTCGAGAAGCCAACACGACGTACGATTCAGTTCCAAACCTAATCACCAAGAAATGGACGGCGTAGGAGCCTCGAAATAGTTTCCGTGATGCTGTGTATAGGACTAAGAACAATCGGGCTCCTGGAAGCCCTTTTTCAGTTAAACAAGACCTCTACGCTGAGGTTTCATGGATGACAAGCATACAAGTACTAGACTGTTCTGAAATAAATGAGCGTTTTAAATTACATTATTTGAAATGTCACAACTTGCTCCAAACAAAACTTTATTAATCGAAAGAAGCATTTAATTCTAGACATTTTGTTATTAAGAAACAAGCTTGTATATTTTATTTGTACCAAATTCTGGAGTGCTGGAAGCAACGAATTCATTGAAGGCACTTTTTGCATTATCATGGATGGTGAAGGATTTCTCGAGCAAGAAGTTATCAAGGTGCTTAAGCAGTATTAGTCGGTAGCGAGAGGTATGGGGAACATGGCGGTTGAGGCAAAGTTTCGTAGCCCAATTCGTTCAACTTCTGCAGCGCTGCTTCCGCAAAGTGAGGCCGGGTGTTGTCGTGGAGAAGAATTGGTTCTTTTCTGTTAACTATTGCCTGTCGTTATTGTTGGAGCTTACGGTGCATTTCGTCGATTTGTTGGCGGCACTTCTCTGCCGCAATCGTTTCGCCCGATTCAAAAAGCTGCGATAAATCAGCCCAGCTGCAGACCATCAAATAGTCGTCAAAAATTTTTTGGTGCAATTTCGCTTTTGGAAAGTGTTGCGGAACCTCATTGAAATCCAACCATTAAGCTGAACGTTGCCTGTTGTCATACAGAATCCGCGTCTTGTTGCACGTCACAATTCAATCAAGTAAAAAGTCGTTTTCGTTGGGCAGAACAAGAGCAGCAGACACTTCACAACAGCGATTTTTTTTATTATCGTTCAATTCATGCCACACCACTTGCCGAGTTTTTTTTGTCCTTTCTATGCGATTCAAGTGAATGGAAATTGTTCCTGTGCTTACACCTAGTTGTTCTGCAAGCTCTCGAACACTTGTTCGCATGTTTGCTTCCACTAGTGACTTCAATTCGTCATCGTCAAGTTTATCTGGATGTCTGAAGCCTTCCTTATCTTCAAACTTGAAATCGTCGGATCGGAGCTTTTGGAGCCATGTTCGCACTGTTGATTCATCAACACTGCGTTCACCCCAAACTTCTTTACTGTCTGCAGCCGTCTCTGTTGCGCTACGACCGAGTTTGAACTCATTAAGGAAATCTGACGAAAATTAGCTTTTGACATCTGAAATTGTAAGGGCCAAAATCGGTTCAAAAATCGATTTTTTACGAAGCATAAAAAATGGTTGAAAAGGCGTAAAACTAGCTTTCTAATGATATATAATACTGCGAGGCATAAAGAATATTTTATTGGTAAAAAATACGTTGGTATAATAAATATTTTGAAATGCTCATTCATTTTTGAACAACCTAATAGTTTGAAACCACTCGGTAGTCAGACCTCCATTCTTGAAGATAGCCTAAAAATTTATGGTCGTTTGTACAGCTCAGGAGACTGTGATCTGTCCTAACGAAAGGGTGATCTCATGCAAGTCATGCGGTAACGAACACATTGGAGAAACGAGTAGACCGCTTTGTGGCCGCATAGAAGAACACCTAAATGGGAAAGTAAAAATTCGTCAAAACACTCGTCTAGGTATGCGTAGGGGACAAAAGCACAACGGCGATGATTTTGAAGTGACTGTGCGGATCCTAGCGCAGGAATCGAAAACATCAACGCGCAAGACTCTTGAGGCGTCTTTGGTTAAATTTCAAAACTCCAAAGATGTACCGGAAAGACGAATGCCTCACTATCACGCGTGACCTGGTGCCCTATTTCAAAACGATATTTTGACCCCGGGGTGTGTCTTGCTCGCGACCCCACGTGAGCATCGTGTGGGCCAGTTCCGCACGTAACACCACGGTGAGTGGCCTTTCTGTTCAATATGGCCTTTATTTGAAAGCTTGATCTTCATTAACGCTATAAATACTTTACCGAATATAAGGCTATTCTTACATAAAAAAATAGTTGCTACTTTTTAAGCGGTGGTTTCTTCGGAAACCACCTAAATGGCTTTTGAAAATCTGTACAAATAGCATAAAATTGACAAACGAGCAAAATAATCAGACTCTTTTTCTTTCTTAGAAAAAGAAAAGTAGTGAAGGAATTTTGTCCCGTTTAGCGCTATTTTAAGGAACTTTTTTCTGGCATCAAGTTAAACTTTTTTTTGGATTGTTACCTTTTCTATAGATGCCGACAATTCTGCAATTGAGTCAGAAAGATGGAGATGCTAAAAACATTACTGCCTTTGTTTAAGATAATTTGAATATTAAAACAGATTTTAACTAGCACGCAGCTGACCAATATTGGTTACCGACCGGCTGGTATAATACCGACTGATGCATTGCCGCCAAAAGTGTAGGTCACATCGAAAGGCGACAGTAGATTATCACCGGTCCTGGATCAAAGGGCACCATCGACCAGTGAGATTCTTCATTCCATGATCGGTACTCGACTCTTGGCGGTTGGACTCGATGCGTCAACGACCACCCGTGGATCATCGACTGGGGTCAATCTGCCTCTGAAGAAGACGAAGACAGCGGAACGTCAGCACGAGTGAACCGCTTTTCATAAAGCTCTTGTTAGCTTAGTAAGCTAAGAATATCTTTATCTATTTGTTTGCTTACTCATTAATTCCACTACTTAGTCGTTAACTCATTTTCACATTTAATTTACTCATTCATGTATTCTTTCGCTTGCTGATTTGTTCATCCACTCGTTCATGCATTCATCTACTCCTCTGTTGATTCATCCAGGCTATTTATGAGTCTGCACTTCTTCCATAATCCTTTATGCGTCCTTCTTCTATTGTTATTCTCTAATTTTCAATGTTTTAATTCTGCCAATGGCTTACCGCCTCATCGTGACTAACACGTATTCCTAGGCGCCCGGCTGCGATGTGCAGGGAGGAAATTCATCCTCCCAACAGGAACCCTCAAAGTGAGGAGTCCGACGTTCCCAGTAGGAAGCGCAGCTAAGAGTAAACCAATACTAGAGCCCACCAAAGTCCTGGTATCAAAGTAGTCGCATGGTGGTAAATCTCCCTCTGATCCACAAAGCCGGCGACTACCTAGCGTGGTGGCGATCTGGGGCAGGCATTGACCAGGCTGACCCCGGGACTC